CGGACATCCTTATTTTAAGTATGATAGGTTTAAATTTAGTATTCCAATGGGCACACACCCTGCGATCTCGCCAGAAGCGAAACGCAACCGGTCACACTGCTGGTCATCACCCATCATTTCAAATGTCGATAAATGACATTGTCTAGACTCGAGTTTAATAATGTTTCTGCTGAAAGCTCCTATCATAGGTTAGGTTTAAATAAACTCCCGACATATACCTCAATCTTATAAAGTTATTTACTTAAAAAACAAATCTCCATAAGGTTCGAACAACGTTTGACATAGGAAAACCCAAGCAAATACCCTTGTAATTGTTTCTATTACACCGCTATCTCCCCCATCGTCATCATCATCTCCATTGATGTTACGATTTGCGCCACCTTATGTAATTATTTGAGCTCTATAAGAGCCCGAGCACTCGCTCAATGATCACTCAAGCTCCTTGAGTGTGCTCGAAGGTGTTCAAACCGGTTTTCACGACGAAAAAGACACAAAAAAATAGTGCACGTCCACAGAGGGGGCTGCACGCGCCCATGGAAACTCCCCCTTGAAATAAAAAAGACAACAACAAGTTTTTTTGGGGGGGGAATACGAAATGAGGGAGGTAAAAAAAAGAAAGAAAAAAAAAAATGGATTAATTGATTGATTAAAGACGTAGGCCAAAATCTTACCCATAAATAAATAAATAAATAAATAAATCAGTCAATCAATCAATCAATCAAACAATTAATCTGGTGTGTGTGTGTGTGTGTGTGTGTGTGTGTGTGTGTGTGTATTGGAGTACGTCATGAAAAACATGTCGCAACAAGAAACGTTAACACGCCTCTTGATCATGCTCCGATTTAATACATCGGCACAAACCCCTTTAACCTTATCAGGCGAGCACGGGAATTACCTAGCCAATCAACCCGCCCTTTGGAATCTTGCGCGAATCGTTCCTTATTCAGGTAGTTGCAAAAACAGATGACCAAAGGCATTGTCCTTGAGGGGTTCGGTAGTTTAGATCGTAAATCCGTGTTGTGTTTTCGTGATCTGTCTATTGGTATGGTCAACCAGAGGGTGCTAGTTGGTGAGGTTGCCTATTCTTCGTCCATCAGGTGAGCTACCGTCAATGCCCAAATCGTCCTACATGACCTACGGTTCTTACTTTTCTTCAAGAATACTGCAATCAGTAATGTACTCCGAATGAATGGGAATCAATCATAAGTGTACTTATGAAATCATTATATCTGGGTAATAATTATATCAGGGGGCGGTGGAGCAATCAGTCGTCCAGGTCGCCAACTTCCCTAGGTTGTGAGAGCATCCCCCTGGTCATCATATGATTGATTAGTACTGCGTTTTATAGATCAGGAAGTGACTAATTCTGAAGGAATGTTCTAGGCCTACTTGGGAGGAAAAAAACGAACGAGGACGTAGAAACATGGATAACAAAAAATTAAGGAAAAAATAGAATAAGGAAAAAAATAAAAGAAGGGGAAGATTCCAGGGGAGGACTTGTCACTATAGGATTCAGTAATCATCATCGTGTGCATCCATGTAATCCCACAAGCGGTCGTCCGACCGGTGCCGACGTGGAAATCGGCAATCCTAGGGCCATATATTACGTGCGGGGTTGCATGGGCGGAATACACGAAAGGGCCGAACTCTTTTTCCGGGGAATAGGCTAAGGGGGCAGGGGGAGGGGAAGGGGGTAAAAGCATGCGCGACTACAAAGATAACCCTCCGGGAAATTTCCCATTCTAATCCCGTACCAAGGTAATTCTATAGGCAGTGGTCCGGTAGATGCCGTCGTGGAGATCGACAACTTTATCCTGGGCACTGCGCATGGGATTCCCTTGGTATGGCAAGCCATCCTATTATAACCGAAAAGTACGAGAAATGCACGAAAAAACTGCAGGAAACCAAAAACCCGGGCGAGGACACAACCGATTCATGAAAGTTTGCATACATGCGTACATCTATCGCTACATCACATGCACTCTGAAAGCCAAACGCTGTGGATGATACCCGTTAACGAGAGCCGGGGATAGAGACGCAAGGTGGGAGTGAGAGAGGGGAGATCATTCATTCTAATCCCGTACCCATATAACACCATAGGCCGCGGCCTGGTGGAAACCAACGTGGAAATCGGTGATTTCCTCCCCTGGAGATGCATATGGAATCACATCAGTACGGCAAGTGATCCCGTTACAGCTGAAAGGTGTGAGGTCTTATCTACAAGCATTGCATGAAGCAGAGATACAAACAACAACCCAATTGGTCCATGAGAGTGCTATATTACATACATGTGTGCAACATTCATTCAAGAAGCCAATCACTGCGTATGGTACCTGTCAACAAGAGACGGGGATGGAGAGGCGAGAGCGAGCGTGAGAGAAAGAAAGGAGAGGGGGGTAAGGAGGTGAACGAAGAAGGGCGGGGGAGAAAGATATCGAGAGAGTGGGCAAGGGGAGAGAGAAAACAGGAAAGGAGGGGGAGGGGGAGGGGAGAGAGAGAGAGAAAACTATGGAAGGCAGGGGAGGGGAAGGAAACGACAAACTTTGGAAAAAAGATTCGGTAGAAAAACTTATTAGATGCAAAAAAATTATTACGTCCCAATGGTAGTACGTAGGTCCTCATCTGATAATACTGCCTTTCTTTCGGTCAAAAAGGGCTGAAGCAATCCACTCTTCCAACTCCTTCTCTGCACAATGCGCAAGCAGCATACGACTCGTAATAGTGACAAACCCGGTTGCATCCCCAGAGTCAGCTCCGCATACTGTGGGAGGCTAGCCACGACAACCAAAAGCAGGGAGGGTAGTGGCGATCCCTGAAGCGCTTTTCTACCGCTAGCCACAAATGCACGGCTTCATCAGAGGGTGATACCTGCCATTCGTCACACATGCTTGGGTAGCTGAAGCTTGGCTAATGGTGGAGGCGCCTGCAGATGCAGTAAAAAGGCTAAAAACGCGAGAAATGCTAGCAGCGCAATGAACGCGAGAAGCACATAGGCAGACAACTCAATAGCCACGCCAACTCTCTCCTCGTCCCTCTGCTCACCCTGCGACGCCATCGCCCCGAGTGATAGCAGCTTACTCGCACACCAACGCAGTAGATTGAGGGGGAGGAATGAGAGAAGGAGACAAACGCACATTCCTTGCTCGTGCAAGCGCAGCGGTGTTCAGGCGACAAGCGAGCAGACTCTCCTAACAGCTGCAGCAAAAAAAATGTGGTGCAAGCGCATGCTGGGGGAGAGTAGGCAGATGACTATACCACGTCCTCGTCGTCGCCGATCAGCCGATCCACCAGGTCCTGATCCACCTGATAGTCCATGGCACACCTCGATAGTAGCCCGCAGCCGCTCCTTCGGTACCCTTCCGCCACCGCCCACGAAACCAGAGCTCAAACAAAACCGGGCGAGTGTTTGGTCAGACAAGTATACTCCGACCGAACAGAACACCTGTGTTGCAATCGGAGGTGATGAGTCGACCTGGGGGTTCCCGACCCTAAATAGTCCTGGTGGTTCATCATTATCCGAGCATCGCGGTGTGATCCGTTGTGGCTATCGAACCAAACAGCGGGCGCTAAGACCGAAAAAAGGAAAGGAAAAAGAAAAAGGA